AGCTGTTTAAGGGAAAACTGATTATGAAGTTTGGTTACTAGGCTTTGAATCTGAGTAGGAGAGCTGTCAGTGACAATGATGTCATCTACATACACTAGCATAAAAATAGTGTAGGTAGAGGTAGATAGAATGAAGAAGGATGGGGTCACATTTACTGGTCACAAACCCAAGTGAATGGAGAGCACTTGTAAGTCTTTCAAACCATGCCCTAGGTGCCTGTTTTAAACCATATGTGGCTTTGTTTAGTTTGCAAACAGAAGTTGAATCAGTATGTACAAAACCAAGAGGTTGTTGCATATAGACTTCCTCAGTGAGAATGCCATTTAAGAAGGCATTGCTCACATGTAGTTGGTGATTGGCCACTGCCTAGTGAGAGCTATAGAGAGCACCACCCTGATTGTGACAGGTTTGACCACAGGGGAGAAGGTTTCCTGAAAATCAAAATCCTGAACTTGATGAAACCCATTTGCAACAAGTCTGGCATTATACTTAAGGACAGATCCATCAGGATTTTGTTTGATCCTGAAGACCCATTTGCATCCTATTGCCTTTCTGCAAGGAGGAAGATTAGTGAGAGTCCATGTTTGATTATGTAACAGGGCATTGTACTCAGCAGTCATTGCCTCTAACCATTTTGGATCTTTGAGAGCCATTTTATAGGAAGTAGGTTCTAGTTCAGTTAAGAGTAGGGTGAATCCTTGGCTGGACAATACCAGCCTTGGATCTAGTAACCATAGAATGAGTGTTTTTGAGGGAAAATTGGATGAACTGGTAGATGTTTTGAGCTAGAAGCAGATGAGAGACTTGTTGATGAAAAGGCAAGAAGGGTTTTGGACATTGAGGTTTGAGGAGATACTTATGAAACAGGTGAGTGTGACATAGATGTGGAAGTGTTGATAGGTATTGCAGTTAGAGGAGTAGGTTGAGGCAAATTTGAAGGAGATGATTGGGTAAATGAGATAGGTGTAGAGAAGGAAAGAGGAACTAGGACAGAGGAAGTAGATAAAAGAGGAGTTGAGGTTACAATTTTGGGCAATGTATTCATGTATCGAAACCTGGATTCATTGAAGACAACATCTTTGGATATATACACCCTTCCATCAGAAGCCATGCACTTGTAACCTTTGTGATGTGGAGAATATCCATGGAATACACATTCCTTGGTATGGAAGTCAAATTTGTGAGGATTGTATGGTCTGAGATAGGGAAAACAAGCACATCCAAATGCTCTAAGTATCTTATAATCAGGTGCAGCATTATAGAGCAAATGATAGGGAGATTGCATAGAAAGAACAGGAATAGGCATCCTGTTAATAAGAAAGGTTGCTGCTTGAAAGGCTAATCCCAAAATTTGAGAGGTAAAGATGCTTGTGCCAACAGTGTGAGACCTGTTTCCACAACATGTCTATGCTTCCTCTCAACAGCACCATTTTGATGGTGAGTGTGAGGACAAGTGAATCTGTGAGTGATGCCTTGTGTAGCCAGAATGGAAGTGAGAGGTTGAAACTCTCCACCTCCATCAGTTTATAAGGCTTTGAGTGTGTGCTTGAATTGTGTTGCAATGTGAGCCAGGAATAACTTGAAGATAGATGTTACCTCAGATTTGTGAGTCATTAAAAATATCCAAGTAAACTTGGTAAAGGCATCAACAACAGTCAGCATGTATTTGTATCCAACAACAGATGACACTGGTGAAGGACCCCACACATCTGCATAACTTGACCATTACCGAGCATAACTTGGTCTGAGCCAAAGGTGGAGATGTTATCCAAAAAATGATCAGCTGAGTTGGTGACATAGTGAGTTGCTCCTGAATCTGCATACCCTGATTGTTGTCAGCTAAAGAGTTAACATATGTGCTTGCAAGAAAGGTCTGAGGTTACTTGCTACCAGATGCAGAGCTAGCAAGTGTAGCAATGAATCCTTGCGCAGGACCACACCATTGAGTGGGAGGCATCCACTGATGAGGCATGTGTACTGAAGGAGGACCTTGAAAGTAGGGCACAGCAAAGTTAGCCATAGGTGCTACAGCTACAGCTAGAGCACGCCATTGCTGAGATCCAGATCCAGCAACTGAAAGTCTGAAGTAGTAGACCTTTGCATCATGTCCAATTTTAGCACATATCTGACATTGCACCTTGGATCTACCACTGTTTCGACCACCACCACGTGTGAACCGGCCACCACGACCACTGCGATTTCCGTGAAACTGAGTTTGCACTTCTGATGAGGATTACGAGACCGATCCTTGCGTCAGATTAACAAATAGGGCATCGTGTGTAGCTACACGTGTAGATCGTTCTAGACGAGCTTCATGAGAGAGAAGCATCGTCACTGCAACAACAATTTCACAAGGCTGGTCACGGTACTGAATAATGGAAGCTAGGGCTTGGTATTCTTAAGGCAATCCATCCACGATAGTTTCAAGATGATCACGATGAGAAACTGGATCACCAATAGATTCAAGAATATCAACAATTTGTTGAATTCTCCCTAGGTACTGAGCAATGGTTCTTTCACCTTTCTCCATGGTGCGCAACTCAAAACGTAATTGACGAGACTTAGCATAGTCCTTTGAAATTGATCAATTACAGTCCATACCTCATGAGCATGAACACACCTCACAACACAAGGAAGAATGACATCAGAGAGTGTAGTAAGGAGCCAAGTAAAGAGAAGAGCATCCTCTTGATGCCACTGCACATATGCAGGATTTTCCAGATCTGATGCACGATCATTGGTAGAGAGATATCTTGGAGGAATATTAGGATTTGCTAGGTGACGATGAAGCTTGTGAATATGAATTATACCTTCTACTTGCTGCTTCCAAGAGAGGAAGTTGTTGTTGTCCAGCTTGATGGTGACGTGTTGCCCAAACGTTTTAAACGCATTCTTCAGATTTGAAGTTGCTATGTTGGATATTGAAGAAGACGGTGTACCACTTCCCGGAGTTGGAGGATCCGTGAAGAATGGTGAATGATCAGTGACAGAAGCCATGGCTGTGATGAATCACAAGCTCATGATACCATAATAGAGTTTTGGAAGAGAAGCATATTCAAGGAGAAATGGTTTGTATTGATTAATTCTCAACTGAATTGATACAATGAGTATGCTATATATAGACAGCTAGCATAACAGAAATAGTACAGCTCAGCATAACTAACTCTAACAGTTAGTTATGACTGATAATTGATTTTAGTCTAAATGTTGTCAGGTCAGCATTACTTAAACTATTCTAATCTATTGCTTATACTCTAATACCAGTTGGATGCAATGTGTGTACACAATAAAATATAAGACTGATGGATCAATTGAAAGATATAAAGGCTGGTTGGTTGCCAAAGGGTTTACACAAACCTATGGAATTGACTATTTAGAGACATTTGCTCCGGTTGCGAAGATGAATACTATGAGAGTAATTTTGTCACTTGCTGTCAATTATGGTTGGGATTTACAACAATTTGATGTGAAGAATGCCTTCTTACACAGGGAACTTGAAGAGGAGATTTATATGCCGGTACCACCGGGGTATGAAAAAAATGTGTCCGACAATACAGTTTACAGGTTGAAAAAGGCATTATATGGGCTAAAACAATCACCTCGAGCATGGTTTGGGTTATGACATCTTTAGGGTACAAGCAAAGTCAAGGAGATCACACCTTGGTCATCAAACACCCGCCACAGAGGGGAGTAACAGTTTTGTTAGTATATGTAGATGACATTATAATGACAGGAGATGATTGGAAGGAGCAACAAATCTTGAGTCATTGTTTGGCAAAGGAGTGTGAAATAAAAAGTCTTGGAAAGCTAAAGTAATTCTTGGGAATTGAGGTGGCACATTTCTGAAAAGGCATTTTTACATCTCAATAAAAATACAGATTTACTCAGAGACAGAACAAACAGCGTGTAAACCAGCAAGCATTCCTACGGATCCAAATCTTAAACTGGGTAATACAGAAGATGTTGCAGTACATATAAAAATGTATCAACGTCTAGTTGGGAGATTAATTTATTGTCCCACATTGGACCCAATATTGCATATGTTGTAAGTATGGTTAGTCAGTTCATGCACTGTCCTAAACAAATCCATTTACAAGTTGTTCATAGAATCCTGCAATATCTCAAGGGAACTCCAGAAAGAGGAATTTTGTTCAAAAGAAATGGAAAGACAACCCTTGAGGCCTATATTGATGCAGATTATGCAGGCTCAATTGTTGATAGAAGATCCATTACAGGGTATTGCACCTTTCTTGGAGGAAATCTTGTGACTTGGAGGAGTAAGAAGCAAAATGTAGTAGCACGTTCTAGTGCTGAAGCTGAATTTCGAGTCATGGCACAACGCATTTGTGAATTACTTGAGCTCAAAATTATTTTAGAAGATTTGAAAATCAAATTGGAAGGACCTGTGAAACTCTACTGTGATAATAAATCAACTATCGGTATAGCACATAATCGAGTTCAACATGGTCAAACTAAGCATATTGAGGTTGATAGACACTTTATCAACGAGAGGTTGATAGTGGGCTGATTTGCACCACATTTGTGTCCTCACAAAGGCAACTTGCGGATATTCTCACTAAAGGATTGAGTAGCTCAAATTTTGAATGAATTGTATCCAAGCTGAAAATGGAGAATACTTATTCACCAGCTTGAGGGGGAGTGTTGGAAATAGAAATAATACATTGTATGTTTTCCACTAAAATTAGCATTTAAGTCTTAGGTTCATGTATATTTAGATTTATGCATTTAGAAAGTTGAACTATTATTTATTTCTCCTTGTAAACATAATATGTAAATAATTATAGTGTCTATAAATATCATAGTTGCTAAATGTTTTACTCACTCGAGCGCATTCAGAAAATTTCTTATTTCTATTTTTTACACTAACTTATCTTTCTTGTTTGTTGTACCAATGTGTTCATGGGCAGACTTAAAAGATGCATTAATTATGTAGATTTTTTAAGCACAAACAATGGTTGATATAAACTTCTCGAACATACCATTTGTCGCAGAAAGTCGCATACAAACCTTCAAAAAGAAAATACAGACATATGGTTATTGGCATGTTGAGAAGTGAGATTAGTTGAAAGGATAAGCATTAATTCAGATCAGAAATCAGATAAAAATGGACAAGATAATAAGTGAATATAAAGGTAAAACATACTTTGGGAACCTTTCTTCAACTATTGAAGAGTGGAGATCCCTACTAAGCTGCAAATTATGAAAGGACAATAATTTTAACCCTAAACATTAATATGATAATCATTTACTTATAATAAATCATTTTATCACATGATATTATTGGTACCTGCATCATATAATATAAATTATGATATGAAAGAAGTTGAGACCCCATGGCATCTTTTGTCACAAGACAATGGATGTAAGCCCTGGTGTAGTTCTTGCAAACCTATAACAAAACAAACAAACAAAAAAAACACTAAACGCATGCTAATTCCCATAAAATGTTTGAAATTTAAATCCAGCGTCTTCCAAGCATACCATACAGGGACAAGTAGGATCAATTGGGCGGGTGTCATCAGCCATGTCTCTGTTTTTTAGTTTTAACACTCCCTGACAGAAAAGAAAAAAAAAAGGTAAGTAAAAGAAATCAATGAATGCGTGTATAGCAAAGAATTATTCTAAATTCTCATTATTCAAACTGACCTAATGTGCAATTGAAAAATTTAATAATATCACAGTAGGGGGGCCATCTTTTTTCAATAAAGGGGTAAAAGATTATCACCTCAGGAACTAGAGCAGTGCCAAAGCGTGCTGTACGAGTAGGATAAACGCAGTCATACATGTCAGCACCCAAAGCACTACAAATAACAATGTCAAGTGGATAACCAACTCCCTAAAAGAAGTACAAGGGAAAGTTGCAATATCACTATCACATTGAAATATTTCATTAAAAACAAAATACTTGTATTCAATAAAGTAAATTTTACCATAACATATCGCGGTTTATCCTCTGGCAAAGCAGCAGTGCACTGAGCAACAACTCGCCAAAATGAATTTTTATCTTCGCCGCCTGAAAGACCGCCAATAGCATAGCTGTGACAAAAGAAAATTATATTTAACTTCCCATCACTACAGAAACAACTACTAATATAAGGCCGCTACATGGCTGTGATGTATATTCATAAAGACTGAAGACAGCTTACTTTTTTTAGTCTATGAAAAGTTGCATTTTTTATTATAAGAAAAAAATTATGCAAGGGAAAGTATCCAAATATGGTAATGCACAAATTCATGATTTACAGTACAGATTTGAGGGGTAGCATGTAATTTAAGATTTGTTCTTATTTGTGTAATGCATTTAAGAAACCTTTCTATATACATCTACACCCATTTCAATATAAAAAACAAATGCATTCAATATGTACTTTTTCTTTCCAGGAATTGATGGATGTTGCTAAAAAATTGAGACTCAATACCAACAACAGGATCGAGCATTATTAAATAGCCGCCATCCATCATGGCAGCACCATAGGCCGCAATCCTAAGTTTATGTGGCAGAATTTTGGTCATCTGCCATAAACTGCCATTGACAAAGAACAATTCTTCTGAGAAGCCATTGAGACCTAATTCATTTTGTATGGTTTCACTTGGTGTTTGTTTTGGAGTCTAGAATTGAGCTTGGATGTTTAAGTTTGAATTCAGAATTAGAATCAATGCCAGAGGACTTGACAATTCCATCGAATTACAAAATAACTCGTCCAAGCTATTTCAATTCTTGGCCAACGCCCTAAATATTACCAATTTCATGAATAGAATAAAAAAATGCTCAACCTAAATATCCTTCTTGCTTCTTTAGTATTATACATCAAATTTGAGATTAACATCCTTCCCTAGTGGCATCAATACCCTTTCCCTAGTTTAGGTCTTAAAGCACAGCAAAAAAGTATAAAGACATTGGCAAAAATGATATGCTGACATGAACATTAGACCTACCCAGGCAAATTGCGCTCCACCATACCTTTAACACAAATATCCCTGGTTACAAAACATGTATTAATAAGCAAAATAAAATGTCCAAATATATAATGGCACAACAGATAGCAAAGTTATGGTTTTTGCTGGAATCCACCTCAACACAGGATCTAAACCACCTTGCACAATACCAAATAAGTTCTGATCATGAGGCCTCTCGTGAGCTGTTTACACAAGGCAACTCGTATTAATATTCGGCATGCAAAGCAAAAACAATATAATAGAATTATTTGCTTTCCAAGCAACATGGACAATATGGCATTAATTTTCCAAGCAACATGGACAATATGGCATTAATTTTCCAAGCAACATGGCATCCATTTTCAAGCAAGGCATTCATTTTCTACTTGACATCTAATGCTTAAACTAATGTCAAATTCTTTACAGTTGGGACAATGCTTCCTCAAAGAGAAAACAAACTATTGTATAGTGCTTGAATTATTTACTTCAGCCTTTCTTTCTTCTTACAAAGTATTGAATGTGCTACTGATTGGCTAAAAGAAACTTAAGCGTATGGCTGATTATTCTCTCTTACTCTACAAGAAATAGAGTTAGAATATAAATGCTTGGCAATTACATTGGGGAAGAAAATACATATTGCTACAATATGGCGAGGTTTTCCTTTATGGGGAAATATCTTTCCATTTAACAAGATATAACTCAAGCCACTAATCTATACAATAAAAAATCACAAATTAGAAGTCTGTTCATTTCTAGTAGGTGCATAATTAGCTCCTGCCATTATAATATGGACTACCTGGTTTTCGGGACGAGAGAACACAAATTGACGGATATAGTTTGGTAATTTCTGAGGTTAGCTTGAATAATGTGTTAGGTCTGGAATTTAATAGTGCTTCCCAAAAGGGGAAGAGAAAATTGAAAGTAATATTTCCTTCTCTTGAGAAACCAAACATAGCCTAGTGAAAAGATATTCTAGAAAATGGAGAAATATTGATGTTCAGAATATGGAAGTGCTTTGGAATTTCATTGTGCTTTCCAACAGGGGAAGTGAAAACTTAAAGGCAGAATTATTGCCTTCTCTTGAAAACTGAAGAAATTTTAGTGCAGAAATTTCTCTCTATCATGTGTGCGCGTGCAATTTCAACCCTAAGCCCCTCTACCTTTTTACTTTAATTTTGGATGTACTCACGGAACACATCCAAGAGCTAGTACCGAGATGCATGCTTTTTGCAGATAATATAGTTCTTCTTGGAGAGTCGAAGGAGGATTTAAATGAGAGGTTGAAAACATAGATACGAGCTTTAGAAACGCATGGTTTTCGCCTAAGTAGAAGTAAGACGGGGTATATGGAAGGTAAGTTCAACAAAAGAAGAAGTGTTTCTAATCTAGAGGTGAAAGTTGTAGATCATATTATCCCTCAAGTAACACGGTTTAAATATCTTGGATTCGTAAATACCATATTATCGGACCGCGGTAAGACTAAGATTTTGTACGGGACAAAATGTTGGGCGGTTAAAAGCCAGCATGAAAATAAATTAAGTGTAGCAGAGATGAGGATGTTGCGGCGGATGTGTGGTAAACTCGACAGGATAAAATTAAAAATTAAAATATAAAAGAGTGTCGGGGTAGCGCCTATAGTGGAGAAAACGGTGGAAAATAGACTTAGGTGGTTTGGGCATGTAGAGAAAAAGCCGGTAGATTCTGTAGTAAGGATGATAGACCAGATGGAGAGAAGACAAACAATTAGAGGAAGGGGAAGACCTAGAGAGACTAACAGAGAAGTTATTAAGAAAGATCTCAAGATTAATAATTGAATAAAAACATGATCTTTGATAAAACATTATGGCAAAAGTTGATCCATATAGCCGACCCCACTTAGTGAAATAGGAATTAGTTGTTGTTGTATGCATGTACGCAAAGGCACATTGTGGTGTGGATGAATGGAGAAGAGAGAAAATGGGGATAGCATTTATTTTCTTAAGCGCGTAGTGTTAGGCTCATTAAGAGATGTATTAGGGTAATCTATCTAAGTTCTGTAATAGTTTTGATCTTAGATGGGTGGACACATTTGAACTAAGTACCAGTGTACGACTCGAATTTAATAATATCAATGAAGCCCTGCCCCTTATCAATTGTAAAATATCAAGTTAGAAAGAGGTAGAAGGATAAGAGAAAGCATCAATGCACCAAAACTACCCAGTCCCTTATTTGCTAAGGGAAATGCCAAGTCTTCTAGGTAACCAAAATATACTAGTTATGAACACTGTCAATTAGTCGTAGTTGTTTAACTTAACACGTAGGATACTGTTAGACCTTTCATTAAGGAACACTGATGACTTAGCAGTTATATTTTTAAGTGGCAATTATTATATTATTAGGAGTGATTAGTGAAAAATTATTATATGCCGTTACATTTTATTAATGTTCCCCTGTTTATGTTTAGAATAAATAAGGGAAGATAAGAGTAGTTTATCTTGGAATTTGACTAGAAAGGAGGTCATTTAGACAAGAATTTCACCACAATCCGAAATCAACCCCTTATTTACAGAGTCAGATAATTAGTAGTGAATATGACCATAGATTACCTGCTATACATCTGTCTATCCATCTAAGTGTTCGATAGGTAGCCTCCTCAACTCTTGGTCCAGTAATGGTGGTCTTTATAACATCATCCAGAGCCATTATGATATCTGCTCCAATTCTATTCTGCACAATTTATGTGAAAAATGAAAACAAAAACATATATATGGAGCTATAGTTGAAAATCATTATTCGATAAATGTACTGACTTGTATTTGAATTGATTCCTCAGGTGTTAGAAGCATTGGCTTTCCATCTACGGGTGACTGAAGGAAAAGAATGAATGGTTTTAGATTAGAAACAAAATATATATGGAATTTGGGTGAAAGCAGTATTTAGAAGAGGCATGGAAGGTATACCTGAAATGTGACACCTTTTTCAGTGATATCGGCAAGATGCAAGAGCGAAACCATTTGAAAGCCACCAGAGTCAGTAAGCATAGCCCGCGGCCAATTCATAAAATTGTGAAGACCGCCAAGATGGTGAAGAAGCTCAGAAGTAGGTCGAAGGGCCAAGTGATAAGTATTTCCAAGTATTATTTGGCAACCAATATCCTCAAGCTGGCTAGCTGTCAATCCTTTGATGGTTCCTTGCGTGCCGACTGGCATGAACAAAGGCGTTTGGCACACAAAATGAGGGAGTGTCAATTCAGAGGCACGGGCACGGTTAAACCTACCAAGAATCTGACAAAGCGAAAACATAAGAGTTCTGTTGTAAGCGGTGAATGAAGCGATTATTGCCATTATTTTACCTCAAAACGAAGCGCCATCACAGTTTCTCCTAAGGTTGTGCGAGCGTACCTTGGCGGCAGCGAATGAAGAGACCTAAGGTTGTGCGAGCGTACCTTGGCGGCTGCGCATGCGAGTTTCACCGTTCAGTTACACCTTATTTGAATGTGTTTCCCCTTTTAGAAACTTGTCTCACGCGTTTTTTAACTTTTATTTTTTGTCACCCCTCAAATTTTATGTAAGATACATGGTTTAAACTGGTCCATCTATATTATATTTAAGATTTATTTTTTTTAAATTAGCCTTTTACTAATTTACAAATCTACAAAATTAACAATGACATCACAAAACAAATATTTATGTTTTTTTTACAATGAAATATATATATATATATATATATATATATATATATATATATATATATATATATATATATATATAAATTTTTTTTACGTATGTTAGATTCGATGTTGGGATAACTGATCCAAAATATTATATCATATGACAGTCACGTATATAATCTCAATTTATACGAGATGATGAAACAAAAAAGAAATACAGAAAACACAAGAATTGATAACTCAGTTCGATGAAATCACACTTACGTTTGGGGGCACTCTACCAAAAAAGAAAATTCACTATTTTGAATTAGAACAATTAGTCTTATAAGAACCTCTAAATCCTATAAAGTTTTATGTTTCTCCCTAATCCTAGTGACTTTTTATTTAGGTTTCTCCCTAATTATAAAAACCCCTCTCACTTTCTTCAACCATAACTCCTAGTGATCAACCTCAATAACAAGTATATTGATTGTTGAATTTAAAACTCAACTAAGACAAACCAACTATGTCAAATTATTGAAACACAGTGGTGTGCAACAAAGATTCAACATAAATTCTTATGACAGCATTAGCGTGGAATACAACAAACACTTTGTTCTCAAATTTATAGACTTAACATCTTCAAACAACGTTTTACAAATCAACTTAAACCAAACTATAAGCCTTAAGATATGAAAGGAGGGGATAGAGGTGCACAAACAAATACTCAAAAGATAAATCCTAACACTAGATATCTTAAAAACATGCACACCTCAAAAGTGAGGTTTGAGTCTCCTTAAATAGCAATGTCTTTTAGGATTTTCTCCTTTGGATTTCATATTTGATTTAGTCCAAAAAATAACAGATATTGTTGGATCTTATTTGCTCCATAAAAATCTTCAACAAAAGATATGATTTGTTATTTATTCAAACTCAAACGAACAAAAGACATGATTTGTTATTTATTCAAACTCAAACGAACGTGGGGAGTGGATCCTGTTGAGTAATCTCCCCCTTCACCTTTTTGATTAGACAACAAATGTGGATCATGTTGAGTACAACGGACGTGAGGTGTGCTCATACCTTCCTCTTGCGTAACCGACTCCCGAATCCAAAATTTGATTGCGATGACATTGTCTTCTCCTTTCTTTTAGATTTACTTCAATCGTTTGTTTTCCCTTTCTTTGGGATAAATAACGTTAAGTGACGACTGTTATGTTTGTTTCCGTCGGTCTTTTCGCAGTTACGACACCTTACACAATAGCCAAATACCAGAAGTTTTGACAACTATTGTTTAAAAGAGCTTTATAAACACCAAGAATTGCTTCACACACACAAGAACTGTTTACAAGGTCCATAATGGCGATTCGTTTAAAATAGTTAGATGCAAAACCTTATAATTCTTTAAGATCATATAACATGCTTTCCGAGACCCTATAATTCTTTTATATCATATAACATGCATTCCAAGAGAACTCTCCGCGTTGCAGGATGGATATAATTTGGAACACCACTCCAAGCTAATTCACGCAATTTGTCTATAGGATAATTAAGGAAGAAAAATAGGGTTTGCATTATCAGTTTACCATTTGAAAATCGAAAAACTAAATAAATAGTATCGAGAAATAAAAGCTTTACAACATAAGCAAACATTAATTGTTAGAGGCTTGACAATCAACGATATTTTAGGCCAAAAATCAAGAAAATGAAAGACACTCAACTAGTAGACTTTTCTTTAGTGTGCAGCGACTTCAGCATATATTTATTATCCTTTGTTTGTCCATACAAGTCAATAAAAGAACCTTAAAAGCACATATAAATTGTTTATGTCTGATTATGCTAAAGCAGTAAATCGTGAGACAAGTACACAAATTTGTACACGGTAATTACTAATTAGTACCTAATATAACTCACTCCTAATATGTGTATGTTTGTCTTGCACTTATGCACTTTTTCATGAATCACATGTAAATGTACATCGGTAACACAAGAGATAAACCACTTTTAACACCGACAATAATTTTAAAACAGAAAGAGTAATAAATAAAAGATTAAATGAAAGTTCTTATGGACTGCCAAAGTCTCTAATAAATGAAATATGAATTGAAATAGTCCTCACAGAGAACATAGACGAGAATTTTCATGTTAAGTTTACAGAGTGTAACGCGAATCTCTCTACATTTCAGATGTATTTAACCCAAACAATTTTTATCAAACCAACAAACGAGCCATGTAACCTGACAGGAAGACATGTTCACATCCTGCAGCAACAAACACCATCTCTACGCAAAAATGAAGATACTAAACTCACGGAAAAAGACAAGGCCAAGGATGACCCTTAATTTTCTCTTCCATAGTTGTTACTTGTTAGCATGTTTGTGAACTCAATATTATGGATTTGGATCCTCTCCTTTTTTATATATCATGTCATCTCTCGTGTTTCTAATCTAACGGTTCAGAATTTATAATGAATAATTAAATAAAAAAAGTCATTTAATAGGAGAGAGAAATGGATAAGTAATTTGTCCATTATTAAATGACTTTTTTTATTTAATTATTCATTATAAATTCTGAACCGTTAGATTAGAAACACGAGAGATGACATGATATATAAAAAAGGAGAGGATCCAAATCCCAATATTATAATTTCTTTTTTAATTGAAAACTTGTCATGAAACTTAAATATTCAATCAGATTATACCAATAAATACATAGTAAACCTCTAACCATATAGATAAGACACCGCAAATGCAACCAACATAATGAGCTAATATAAATCAAACTAAGACAGATAAATAATTTAAGACCCGTCAGTAATTGATGTAGTCACTCTTTCAAACTAAGTCTTGCATTTTGGACCTTCACTGACAGCTTTAACTTCTGTTCTTCCATATCTCTTAGCACTGCCAGCAAGTTTGCCCTATAAACATTACATCGTTGATTTGTGATCTCTAACTCGGCAGCCAACTCTCGGATTTTCTTTTGCTTCTCCGCCTGTTGCATCAGTGGTATTAAAATCAGATGCCTTAGCATGCACTATGGAAGAATGATCTCAAGACTATAGGCTCAACATAAATTAACTGGATAGCAATGCTTTTTCAGCTCCTTACAATATTGAAAGGAGATGGAACAAAAGATCACCAGTCTTAAAATGAAGAGAAAATAAAAGGTTGCATCACAGAATACTCTAATAACCGAAACATATGGAATACGTTTACCTCAAGAGGAATAAAATGATACAATATAAACAGGCATACAGTTGCTTTGGGAAAAAAGGTACATTCAGCCATTGGAGACTTCGGCCATTTAGCAAAAGGATACTTTCAACATTTTATTATTCTCAATTAATCATTAAAATTTGCCAAATATACCAATCAGTTGAATAATTTGAAAATATTGTATTGAATTATACAATGTTGATACATAAGGTTTAAATTGTTAACTAGATGACAATGTTTGATACTGACGCCATTTTGTTGCAGTGTTGGGACAACTGGACTAGTAACAATGGCGGAAGGCGTTTTGAGGCCAATGACCTAAATTCCTCAATATAAACGTGCGATTGTGACCTATAGTGGATGGCACTTCAAAACTTCACATGGCTGCGGGCTCAAAAACTGCCACGATAGGTCATTAACAACATTGACCATAAGAAATCCTAAAGGATCTGAACGATACCCAATAAACACCGATGAAGACAGGTCTTTCACATTGCCAAAATCGCAAATTAGAACTATTTCCTTAAGTTGGGTCTTTTGAATGAGAAATATCTAATGACTAAACCCTAAAATAGGGGTAAAATGAATACAAACCCAAACATCAAAATAAACAATATCAAGAGGAAACAAAGTTCTATTATTGACACACAAAAAAAGACATTCTACCAAACTTAGATGATCTAGTCCGACAATGAATGAGATAGGGAGACATGAAAGACACACAATGAGGATATCATGATATGGAAGGTTCCATTGGTAGCATGCGAAGAACACTTGAGATAATTAGTTAAAGTATGCTATTAGAAGTTGAAGGGTCTAGGGGAGCCTTAGATAAAGTTTGAGGATTTGTTGAAATAGGTTTGAAGTTAGTGGTAGTGGCAATGGCAGTGACACCACTTTGCAAAAGGTCCAAAGTTTAAGGGGAAGAATGCTCTTTCCTCTTTTTCACAGGAAATATCAAATACTATTTTTGTTGACTATATAGCACATAGAGAAAATGATTACCTAGAAAACAAGACGAAAGATTTCCAAGTGCGCTCCTTATCAATTGTAGTTTTTGTTTACCTTGATACATAAAATTATATAGTTTCTTGGAAGCAACTCAGTGTCAAATTTGTCAAGCAAAGACTCTTATATGACTGTCCTAGTGAGAAATCCTACCTAATGCTACATTTACAGTTTATATAGAAAGATGACAAGTTCAAAGAAACTAACCACAGATTGATAGCTTGACGCATCTTCATCTCCTGTAAGCAACTCAGTCCTGCCTCCGTTGGCTATTGTAGGTCCCTCTGCTGTTCCAGTGGTCTCTTTTCTTAGAATACAAACCTTCTTAGCAGCTTCTTGCAAAGCTTTCATTGCAACACGATATGTTTGGACTGATTTAGCACCTTCTTCCACATACTTGATTGCTTCTTGACGCAAATTGTTGTAACGTACTATGGTAGAGTCACGAGAACTACTAGGCAGTTCAGATGCACATTCATCTAACAAGACGCCAGTTTTAGCATTCCTTGTCCAGCGTTTCAACACATATTGAGGCGGAAGTGTAAGAACATTTTTAGCTCTGAAGACTGCTAATATGTGCCTGCAAATGATTCCTGAATATTCAAACATCTGACAGCTGCAACTGGCTTTCATCTCAGAAGAATTAAAAGTGACAGTGTGAGATGTTTGGTTTTCCCCAAATTTGGCAACCCGGTAAGTGGTGATAGTTCCTGTATCATCCATTTTGGTAGCAGGATTTGCCATTGTCTCGACTAACTCGTCTTGGAATTTCATGAATATCTTTCTGGTATAAAGACCTGCAGCTTGCTTTTCCATAGGAGAGGGTGTTTTTAAAACTGGGCTAGTATTGGTGGTTTCAAAATCTGCTTTGAGTTCTCTTTCATGCCAAGTTGATACAGCCTTCTCATACTGTCTAACAAAAGACTGTAATGTGGTGAATTCATTGACATGTCCGTCAAAGAAAAGGTTCAAACATTCATTTCCAGCGTTCAAAGATGTTTCTCCAAAAAAAGTGTCGCGCAAGTAGACAGGGACCCAATGGTGCCGTGCATTGTAAATAAAGTGAATCCATTGATTGTCCGTGATACAGTACCTTTCCATTAGAGAGTGCCAACAAGACTCAAAGTCATCAATAGTCTCACTCACATGAACACATTTCATGAATTCAGTTTCAAAAGTAGGATGTGATTGATATAAATGAGGCAGTTTGGCTCTGTTTTCTCTGAAAATGCTGGATGTAGAGAAGCGGTGACGAGTTGGGGGAAGAACTTGAGCAACAGCAAGTTGTACGAGTGGATCCAAGTCAGTGGTAATGGAGAGAGGGAGGCGTCCAGACATGGCGTGAAGCCAAGTTCGGAAAAGCCATATGTAGGAAGAGTCAGATTGATTGAGAATCAATGCGGAACCAAATAAAACAGGTTGGGCGTGATGATTAAAGCCGGTGAAAGAGGCGAAAGGTAGGCGGTATTGGTGAGTGTTATAGGTAGTGTCAAATATAACGGCATCTCCAAAAAAAGAGTAGTTGTTTCTACAAGTTGGATCAGCCCAGAAAATGTTTCCACCGGCAACGTCAGGTTGAACTGCATAGAAGAAAGCAGGATTCTCTGATTGCATGCGCTTCAGATAGTCCAATATACGATGACCCCCGCCACCAAGGGTTCGCTGTGGAGTGCTACTCATGTCTGTGCGCTGCAATTGTCGAATAAAAGAGGAATAAAAAGCCAAAGATCGACTCAATTGTCGAATCCCGGAGACTTATCTGTAGCGTTGCTTTTTACCGGGCAAGCTATCGCCACCACCAACGGCGTCGATGATTTTTCTCACACTCTCGGCCACCAGCCAGCGTTCAGCTGCTTTATTGTTTTGGGTTTTTCTTTTTTAATTAAATGTGAATCCTTTGTCGTCTCTGTGCTAATTCTCTCTTTTTTATTTTATTTTAATAACTTATTTTCACGCACTTGAATTTTTTATATATTACTTGTTTTGAAGATCAACTCTAACAATTTTTTATTTTTTGCGTTATAAAAAAATTTTGTTCTTATACACTTATAAATTTGACAACAGTGGTGATAAATAAATATATATATATATATATATATATATATATATATATATATATATATATATAAAAGCAAAATTATGCGGCATCAACATAAAATAGTTGTCACTCTCAAAACAAAACCATAACATCTTTCTCTTCCAAATGTTGTGAACCCGTCTTCAAAACTTCTTCATACTAAAAGGTAATCAATTCATACGATTTATCTTTCTTCTTATTTTTCATAAGTTTTCATCCATGTTATTCATAGATTTTCTTCCATTTTGTTGTGAATAGGTTCTTTCATTTTTCTTTGTTTTCATATGTTTTCTTCTTCATCATTTCATTTGGTGTTACAAAGGGTTTTCATTTATCATGATGACACTAACACTAGTTCTTCTTAGTTTTTCATACGCTTTCTTCTATATTTTTGAAAACGATCTCAGTTATCATATGTGTTCCATGTATGACACTAACACTAGTTCTTCTTAAAACACTTGTTCAATAGAGACATCACTGTTTTTGCTTACTTGGGTTTTAAAGATGATAGAGACATCACTGTTATTGACATGTTGTTAATGTCATGTTAGTTTTCATTTATGTTAACATGTTGTTAATGTCATGCTAGTTTATATTACCATGCTATTATACATTTTGATGTGAAACATTTTATTAAACCCTAATAGATACGTTTGTGGAACACTTTATGAGTTGATTGTTGTTGTTGTTCAAAATGTTTGCTTTGTTTATATTACAATATCATGCTAATACATTTTGACTTGTAGAGAAGGTGAATAAAAAAATTAACTCAAGAAAGTGCATACTATGGGTGTGGTTCATGATAACGAGAAATCATATCATATTTTTAGGCTCATTGTGCATATTATTCGTCCATTTTATCGCGTTTTATTTGCATTTTACTCTATTTTGTTGAGTTTTGCAGTTGATAGCTTCATTTGCTGCAGAATCGGGAGCGAAATGGAAAAAGAGTGAAAGAAGAGGAAAAAATACAGCAACAAAGAAGAAAATTTGCCTTTTGCTGATATGGCATTCACCATGACTATATGGTGTTCGCCATACATCAGCCTGCCACGTAATTTAATGAAGCAAGGTCATGGCGCTCGACATGACCTGGTGGCGTTCTCCATAGTAGTGCAGTTGCAAAATTCAAATTCTACAACCATTTTGAGCAGTTACCACACTTCCTTTTTTCCCTCCACTCAAGGGCCACGTCTAGGACAGTTGAGATCAGTATTTCCTCTATATATAGAACTACTTGGTCATGTTCCAGATACCGAAAAAACCGCGTGGAAGCTCTGCCAAAATTCCGTTTAGATTTAGGCATAAATTTAGTTTCAAAGCGGCAATTAATCACATCGAGGAATTGTCACACCTTTTATTGTAATTTTCTTTTCGTTGCTGTACTGTTGGATTACGAACAAGCCTGTTGGCATTATTTCAATTCAGTTCTGTACTTTTACTCTACAGGTTATTTCTTGTTTTTACTTTTGCACTTAAATTACTTTAATTTTGTATGCAACGTTAGTTTTAATTCCGATTACTGTTAATATGTTTTCTATGAATAATATCATGTCTTGCTAAATTTAATTGAGTTAGGCGTACGAGGACCTTCGTTACCGACGGGACTCCGTAGAAAATTTAGGTGCAGAGTTATTGATCGTATGTTACTTTTAGTCTTTGTTTCTAATTTTCATGTTTTATTATTTCGACACGAGAGTGGGAAATATACTAAGTTCAGACTGATAGCGCTAGAGTGTGAGGAATGAACTAATAGTGGAAATTATGCATCGATCCTAAAAATAGCGAGAGCGCTTTAGGCATCATTTAGAATTTCATTAACTTCCAAAATACGCTTTTTAACTGAAACGAGCAAGCGAGAGCAAAATCCTGTGGTTGAAAGGTGTGGTTCTTGTCAATAGCACGAGAGTGTGAGATGGAATCTTTAAGTTAGTACTTTCTACAGAATTGCGTTTAGTCGTAATTAGCACCTGATTTCTATAAGTTTTTTTAGGTATGCATAATCCATATTCTAGACTCGTTTTTATTGTTATTTCTAAAAACCTCTAGAATTAGTAATTATTCCCTCCCGTCTTAAATCTGTAAATCTTTAGCCTTAGCATTGCACTGCAACATTAGATTGTATTAGTTTGATTATCGTTTTCCTGTGGGTTCGACAACCTTCTAAAATTACATGAGCAGATGTGTACTTGTAGTTATTATCCAGCGGACACATCAGTGTTGTGCTCGCGAACCGTTCAAGTTTTTGGCGTCGTTGTCGGGGAGGCTGATTTAGTCAATATTTTGATTTCATTGTTGCACATTATAAACTAAGGCACCAAAGTTTTTCCTTTTTCCTATTTTCATCGATTGCATGCCAAACACTCGCTCTCAAGGAGAAGAGTTTGAGCAACCGATTGACGATATCGAGCATTTTATTAACTTACGACGCTGAATCAACGAAGTCCAAATTAAGTATAATCTTCCTCAACTTGAAATTCCTTACCCAGAATTAATAATTCCTATGGATGAGAATCTACTCAACCGTCCTCTTAAGGATTATGTTGTCCCATCGCAAGATGAACCGCATAACAGCATTGTCGCCCTTACCATCAATAAAAACGATTTCGAGTTGAAACCTTTGTTATTACAAGTCGTTCAACAGAACCAATTTTATGGAAGTTTCATAAATGACCTGAACCTTCATTTATCTATGTTTGTGTAATATGCCAACACCGTAAAAGCAAATCGTGTCAGTAACGAGGCCATAAGACTACGCCTTTCCCATTTTCTTTAAGAGTTAGAGCTAGAGCTTGGCTCTAGCCTCTACCATCTAACTCCAGCACTACGTGGGACGAGTTGAAGAAAGTCTTTTGAGCTCGATATTTTCCGCCAAGCAAAATTGTTATGCTAAGAGCCCAAATCAACTGATTTAGGCAGAAAGACAATGAATCTTATTTCGATGCTTAGGAAAGATAAAACGACATGCTAAGGCTCTGCCCACATCATGGACTTGAAAAATGGTTGATAATCCATACTTTCTATAATGGTCTTTTTTACAATACAAAGCTGAATTTGAATGGTGTAGCTGGCGGCACTCTGATGGACAAACCATATGAAGACGTTTATCAACTCATTGAAAATATGGATCAAAACCACTTCCAATGGGGAAGTGAGAGAACTCCGACAAAAAAATCTGCTACCAAGAACAAAATGTACGAAGTTAATAGTTTGGACCGTGTTAGTGCTAAAGTGGATGCATTTACTCAAAAGATCGAAAGTCTGACTGTAGTTCTAGCAACCATAGTGGTCGTCGTGACACCAAGTTGTGAGTTGTGTGAAACCCCTGGGCATAGTAACACTTAATGTCATTTATTAGCTGGTATTCCTATCGACCGAGTGAACTACACCCAAGGAAACCCGTACTCAAACACCTACAATCTTGGTTGGAGGAATCATCCTAATTTTTCCTACAAGAGCAACAACGCTTTGTTTGCTCCAACCCAAGCCTTTGTCGTTCCTCCAGGATATCAAAAAAGAGCATCTGCTACTCATCAAGCACCAAGAAAGTCAAACGTTGAGCTGTTATTAGAGAACTTCATCACAACCCAAACTCAACAAAACAAAGAGTTCGCTAACCAAAATATGCACACGAGTGAATTGTTAAAGCAGATGGAAACTAAGCTTTACGCCATGGCTACCCATAACAAAATGTTAGATACTCAAATTTCTCAAGTAGCCCAACAACAAGCAACAATAACAGCCCCTGCAGGAACATTTCCTGCTCAACCACAACCAAACCCGAAAGGACATGCTAATGCTATCACGACACAAAGCGGAACAAAACTTGATGGACTAGTGGATCCAAGACTCCAAAATCCTGACATGTATCAAAATCTCAGTAAAGGAACTAAAAAGGTAACAGAGCCCAACAGTGACAAAAGGAAAGACAAAAGTAAAGAGATCGTAGAGAAAGAAACACCTTATGTGCCTCCGCCACCATACAAACCTCCTATACCTTATCCTTAAAGAAAATAAAGGACAATTTAATAAATTCATAGAGCTTCTAAAACAACTAAATATTACCATACCATTTACATAATACATAACTCAAATTCCTTCATATGCCAAATTCCTTAAAGATATTTTATCCAACAAGAAAAAGCTTAAGGATAATAAAACTGTTATGTGTAACACCCCAATTTTAAATAATTAATTATTTATATTAATTAATTGATTTATTAGAATTATTTGAATTATTTGAATTATCGGATAATTATTTATTTAATTGGTGAGATGATTGATTGCTAGGATTAGTGAGTTAGTGTAGTGTGTGAATAGTAAGTGAATTGGGTAAGCCCAATAACTTAAGAATTAGGGTTTTAGATAAGAGAAGTTAGTAAGAGAAGGAAAAAGGGGAAAAAGAGAATAGAGAACATATAAGAGAAGAAGAGAAAAAGGCAAGCGGAAAGGAAAAGTGGAGGAGAGAAACTCAGAATTCAAGCATTCAAGGAATCAAGGATTCTTCCTAAAGAAAAACATAGGTATTCTCTTATGTTGGGATTATGGGTTAATGATTAATGGGTGGAAGTTTGTATGGAGAAAAACCCTTAGATTTCCCATG